GATGGTTGTCCCCCGAATCCTTCCTTCGCCGCCTCTTCCTTCTTCACCTTGATGGCGTAGCCACAGTGGATTAGCCGATCGATCTCGACCCTTGCATCCTCCTCCTGTTCCACGACCGAGGTGTAGTTGCCTATGTCTTCTCGTAGACCCTGGGCCGCTTGTGCATCACGGTACTTGTTGCAATGCCGTTCCCAAGCGCCTAGTATCCTTCGTCCCAAGTTCTGCAGGGGTGGCAGCCCTTCCACCGTCTCCATCGGGTTCTTCATGCCCCCAACGAACTCCTGCTGGCTCAGCCTCTGCTCCTTCTTGACCACCTCCCGTAGCATGCCATAATTTTCCTTCTCCCGGCTTCCACCTCATATCTTTCGACTTTGCTTCCTTCGCCGTCTTCTTCTCCTCAACCTCTTGGGCCTTGCTTGCGCTCTCCCTCCTTCGGCGCCGCGATCTCGATCGACGTCTCCCGGCGTGCGTGTCCTTCTCCTTTCTTTTCCTCCTCTGGTCTTCTTCATCCTTCTTTCTCCTCTTCGTCGGCGACGGGGGCTCCTCGTGCCCTCCTCTACGGTCGCGATGTAGTTCTGGGGATGGAGATAACTTCACCCCCTCCTTGTTGCGCAGCTCTCTCATCCGCGTTGCTGCTGCGTCGCTTGTGGACAAGCCCTCGTGTTCTTGTGAACCCTAGCAACCTGCCCGCCTGGTACTCCGCCTCCGCCATCATCCTGAAGTGTTCCATCAGCAGGCGTGCGTAGGCATCACATAGCTCCAGGGGGTATTCTCCTGATTCTTGAGATTCCTTCTTTCCTATATGATCGGCCGGCGCTTGGCGTTGCCACATTTGCAGTCCCTGTTCAGCGATTCGATGCCGTATAGCGTCCCGGCAAATTGATGCGGCTTCCAGTGTCTGTCGCCTCGCGCCCGGTCGGATTGATATGCGCAGGTGTTGAACAGTGAGATCTTCACTCCACTCAATCGTAGATAGCTCACCATTTCCGTCATCCCCCAAGCCGACACGTGGTCCTCCATGTCCGATGGCGGCGGGTTCTCCATCGAGGCGGCCTTGCGCACTATAGTGTAGGGGCTTTCGCCATTTCGTCGGCGATCTGCACTGACCGGGCCAACATCACCGTTCCTCTATCACACTCCCGTTGCTCTTCTACGGAGTTCTCTTTTCGCCCGTAGGGTTCTGCTCAAGTCTTGACTGGACCCGGCGTGTTCTGATGAACCTCAGCCTCGAAAAGGTCGTGCGTGGGAAGGCCCGAGTGATAGCCATCTATCACGCCCTCCTGTGCCCACTTCAAATGTGTATTGAAGGGCTCATCGGCGCATAGATCTTGTCCCCAATCCTTTTCCGCCGAGATTACTTCCACGTCGAGACCTGCTTTCTTGGCGTTGCGGTGTATTGCCGCTCCCAATGGGTCTCGAGGTCCTGCATAGTGATGTAGGAAGCGGAACTTCCTCTTCTTCACATAGTCCGCCAACTTCCCTTCCAGCTTCTTCTTGGCCGCTTCGTTGTGCCTGTCCTCACCTTCCTCCTCCTTCTTCTTCTTCTTCCCATCGCCCCCTTCGTCACGGTCATCTTCGCCGCCTTGATCCTCCTTGGAGTCTTCCTTCTTCACTTCTTCGTTGTGCACTTGTGAGCCGGATGCCCGGGTGAATACGATGAGCAACGGTGTACCCTCTTCACTGTGTTCTGACACTCCGCACCCGCCGGCAATGACCCACAAGGTGCACTCCCATTGTTCCAACTGAAGCAAATCGCTTCGGCTTGCTTTCCTCCTCTTCCTTTCTTCCCTCCGCTCTTCCCTCCTTGTCTTCGATCGAATCCTCCATCGTTTCGGGATTCTCGCAATCTCTGCTCCACCTCTCAAAGCCCCCTGTGCAATCGACTCCTGGGGTGTCAAGGCTCTTCCCCTCGATCCGCTGGCCAGCCAAGTCAGGGCTGGTCCATGAATTTGATCATTCAAAACTTCAGTTCGTTTGGGATGAGCTTGAACACTGACTCCCAAGGTCTGCGTTCGTCGTAGTGAGGAGGAGCTGCACGGCCTTCCTTCGTGTCCATGGTAATCTTCAAGCGTATGGCCTCAAAAGTAGTTCGCTCCTGGCCATCTCGTCCACGGCGTACACCAAGTGCCAAGCGTCTGGGTAGAGTCGAACCATCTTCTCTATGAACAACTCGTAACCATCTATTGGAGCCAAGGCGCACTCCTGCAGCATGATCATGGCCGTGGTGAAGACCCCGTAGCATGCACGCCATTGGGTGAAGTTCGATGGACCTGGCAATTCCTTCGACACATAGCCATCTGCCGTGGGTACCCAGGTCCTGTATTTCGAAGCTCTCAATGCCTCCCTCCCGAACGGAACAAACACCCCAAAGTCCGCAAAGGGCGGTTTTCCAAGGCTCAACTTCTTCTTCAAGGCCGAGAGCTGCTCGATCGTCGGCTCCTCCTCTTCTTCGGGCATCGAACCCGTCGCATTGATGTACTTCTGCAGGAGGAGTAGTTTGTCGTCCTCGTTGAGGACTTCGAATTCGCCATCGTCGCCCTGGTCCAGCACCTGGGTGAAATTGAGTGTCCTTTCCTTTGTGTCCTTGTCCTCCTTCACGGATGTAGTTGGCCGTTTCGAAGGTGAGGAAGTTGAGCCAGTTTCCCACGGGTCCTCTTCGATCCAATCGTCCCATAGTCCACCCCCCTTCGTGTACATGATGCGCCTCGCCAACTTCCAGACCAACCCCACTTGGGCAGCTTGGATCGCAGTCAAAGGGCGATCTCCAGGAAGGGAAGCCTGTCCCAGGGCCGCGGCCACCAGCTTGCCCGGTAAAGCAGCCACCAAGCGGATGTCCTCGCCCGGCGAACCCACCTCGTGGACAAAGGATGTCCACAAAGCCGGATCGACCTGGAAATGCTCCGTGAGGTCGGACACGGTCGCCATGGCTGCCGCTGCCGCGGCCGACGGGAACATCGGCCCAATCCACGCTGCCCGCGAGGAACATTCCCCACCAAAAAGCGAACATGGTGGGGAAAGAGTACTTGAGCCAAAATGGCCCGTCGTCCTCTTTCCCCACCCAAGCTGCCACTCAACTTGTCCAGCAGAAAAACTTTGTTTTTCTTTCACATAAAACCACTGTTGACCCTCACGGCTTAGGCTTAGACCTTGAAATCGCTCTGAAGAAGTATGCGTGAGTGGTTGAAATGTAAACATACACAAAATAAACTCAAACTCGTCGCGCAAATCAGCGATGAGCAAAGAATCCTTTTGGTGGGGCAATTGGACCTGGCCGGTCAAGATTTGGCACATTGCAGCTTTGGCAAGCTCAGTTGCTTCTTCTTGATTGGTTGGGTTTGATTCCAGCGACCATGAGGATTTGTCCCTGAGGTGTTTTTTGTTGCACGTGGACCAGAACCAGATTTGTATATAATTGTACGAGTACATTGTTCTTGGCTGAGTTGACACTTCTTTGGTAGTGTCCACTTTGGACAAATTCCAGCAGATGGGAACCCAACCGTTTAACTACAGTGTGATGTGCAAGTCCTTGCATTTCGCAACAACACCTTTTCCGTACACATACTTTTTCGCAAGGACCAAAGGACTCCCGCAATTCTTCGCTTTGCTCTTTTGCAAAGATGTGCACCTGCACCGCTGCACCAGTTCAACATCTCGCTGGGTCGGGGAACACATGTGACTGGGAGTACTGGAAGTCGGGCTTCCCACCTGCTTTGGCCACAATAATGAGGAAAGTCAGCGCTGGGAAGAGTGCAGGTTGTATGACGTGCAGAAGCTAAGAATACGTATGCAATCTTACGCCTAAGGCCTTCAATATGTTAAGCCATGAAGCCGGTTTCTCAGCCTAAAACACGCAATGAGCTCCCTCCACTCACACTTATTGGGATGTTTGACCTTGGAATATTTTGACCTTGTTTTCGCGATTCTACACATGAATACAAATCAAATGACCTTCCATAAAACCAGCAAAGAAAGAAGGTATCAAAGCGCAACCTCTTCCACAAACGTCCAAACCCGTGACAGACCGAAAGGTCCAACTTTTAGTTATCATTTTGTCAATATGCAACTTTGCAACGTTGTCTGGACATCTCCCGCTATATAAAGGGAAATACCACATTGTGGCACGTTGCAAATCAGGCCCAACGTACACATTCAACCCTGCTTCGCTGCTGTGCCCCAAAGACAGTGCTTCCGTGCCCTAACGACATTTTGAAGCATCATGACGCTTGGTGTCGTTTGGGTCGCTTTGGATTGGGAAGTGAGCTCCGCTGGGTATGCCGTGCCAACGGACCAAAACACCTACGATGAAAGCGGCCTTCTGGTGCTGCCCACTCTGCTAGCTCACCACTGAGCTTCCTCCACACGTCAAGTCACCGCTTGGGCAGCTCAAACTCAGTGAGCTCAGCCCTTGGCTAGCTCAATTAGATTGACTCACCACTGCACTACTTCAATTTAGCCAGCGATCACTTAAGACTTACTTGGTTCAACGTGTGGCTATCTTATCACTGAGCCACTTCAAACACCAAACATAGAGAACCTCAAAACTTGGTCAACGATCATGGCCGCTCTACCATGCTGTACCTCAACTAGCTCACCACTGAGCTAACTTGAGGGCTCAACACTCAGCCACCTCAAACCTTGACAGCCACAGCATTTATCAAAGCCACCATTTACCACTTACCAAGCTCAAGGCTTGACTACTTCGCAATTTGACACTGATCTTGCTTAGGTTGCTTGTGTGGTGTGCGGTGAGCTTCCAATAGGCAATTTTCCGCCGTAGATGACTGGTCTCGGAATCATCTCTCTATACTACCAAAAAAGCGCTGATGACAAGAAAAGCACAACAGGAGTTGAAGAGGCTTGCGCCTTGTGGATGTTGGTACAACATCATGATCTTCAATCGGAGGAGTGCACCACAAACAATATGTATATATGTCTTGATATGTCTTGTATAGTCTACCCATGAGGATTTGGCTCAAAACTTGAATGTGGACAGGACAGGCCTCCTGCTCGAAGTCGGAAATGTCTAAGTTGGCATTCTCACCCTGATTTGCAGTGGCCAAGTCTTTGGTGAAGGTGGTGGTAGTGTGATGGTAGTACCTCAAGCCTATCACTGTCATGTGCAGCAACAGGCCAACATCTACCACAAGCTGCCAACCAGTGAAGTAGCGCAATCCTGTTGAAATAAGCTCGTAGAACTCTTTCAAGACATAGTATGCCACCAAAAGAATGTAAAGAGCATGCCAAACATTGAAGCCAGGCCAAAAGAATGACTTGGGATCAGATCGTAGCAAGTCTAAATCCGATTGGGGAATGACCAAGTGATTGATACTTCGGCCGGTAGTTATTAGGCCAGAAGCATCTGCCTTAAACTTCAAGACCACCCAGCTCACGACATCATGGTTTGGATTCCAATTCATCCAATCCACAACTAAGTAGCCAGTGGTTGGCCCCAAGAAGCCTCCCAAGATCCAGTCATTTAATTGCTGGAACATCAGTCCCTGGGACGAGGGCGATGACCTCGCATTGCTTCGGTTTGATAAAGTCTGTTGCAACGCCACAAGGTTGTCTACTTGCTCTTGTGTCCAAAAGTTCAAGCCCTGCAGAAAGCCCTTGCTTTTTCCATAGGCTTCTGAGAATCTACCTCCAGTAGCTTTGGAGTCGGTGTGAACAAAACGCTTCATCAACGGAAAGTATGAAGTCCTCCCATTTGTAGGCTCGATGAGTGTTGGGTAGACATTCACACCATTTGTATGGTTCCAACAAGGAGAATCAACAGGAGAACTGCTTTGCAGCAGCTCTTGAGGCACATGATAGAAGTTGCAATGAGTCGTTGTCAAGGTCCAGCAATGACACAAACGGCCTTTGGACTCAAGCTGTTCACACCGAGAATTGCAGTGATCCACAATATCATCGGTACTTTTGGAACGATCGTAGAAGTAATCACTCAAGAGCTCCCCACTACATGTGGCCATCGGTGCTGAGCACCACTGAAGCGAGAGGGAAAAACTGGTGATTTCCGCAGCCGTGGCTTCACCGCTAAAGACCCTTTTAGCCGCGTCGCTGTTGAAACCAAATTCTCGGAAAGCCCCGAAGCTCAGCGTATCATCATTGTCATAGCTTCCCGTAAAAGAACTCACTGTGGAAGAGGCAGATTGGTCAATTCCCACTTTGTCATTCCATGTCACCTGTGCCAACTCCCGGAATCGTGGCTCGGTATTGTTGAAGGTCTTGACATTCCTCAGCGAAAAGCGGACCCCATACAGCGGAAAATTTGCCTGCTGTACCGGTGGAGAGATGATGATGGGCAGTGCGTAGCGCAGCCAATCCTTGACATGGTCCAAGTGATTGATATCACTGAAGGACTTTGGCGTCATCATGAGGTCAAAGTGTCGATTGTTGACCCACTGTTGCACAGCCCGCGTCACTACAAACTTTGCTTCAATGACTCCTCCCTTCCATACAAAGTTCATTGCAGACAAAATCAAAATGATGTAAATGATCATGGACAGCACGCTGAGTTGCTTCTTGTCATCCATTTGGATGAAATTGCTGGCGCCAGATTCAGTTCCAAGCACCCTTTGTCTGTATATGTCATCACGTTGCAAGCAATCCCAGTTGTAATCCACATTCCGGCCAGCTTTTGACTTCTGCGAACCAGCCCCTTTGGACTTCATCGCGAGAAAACGAACCGGTGATTCTGTGGCATGGGTTGCGCTGTCTCTTGATGACAGAATGTTGCTGTTCAAAGTTGCATAAATTTGTTCAGCTCAATATTACCCCATCAACCCACATCCGTGTATGTGTGTAGTCCTTAAAACATCGTAAAACCGCTGTAGCTCGCTTTAGACACTATCCAAATCCATCCGTGTCGTGTACAACAATCAAATTTCTCATGGCATCAACAGTGGAAATTGCTTGGTCACAACTGTGCTGATGATGTGTCATGCAGTCTGCAAATCAGCCATAATTGCTCGTTGGCGTTCAACTGGAGGCATTTCAAAAGGTGGGTTGTCGGTCAAAGGCTGCTCAACACTCATACCATTCCCCTATCTACCCGCCACTAAGTCACAAGCACAAAACATCACAAAACCATGAACATATCAAACACCCTGACTCCCTGGTCCATCTGTCCATAGCCTTGTCTATACTATGCAATGTGCTGGGGCGCCACTCTCTCAAAGAAATCCAAGCTAAAAAGGGTTTCCCAACAAAGGCGCAAACACAAGTGAAAATGCTGTGCAAAGCGGCAAGCAAAGCTGAGCTTCTTTTGCGCTAGTGACATCGATGCCTTGTGAAAAGGCGGCGTCAAGTAAACTGCACATGCGAGCAACACCGAAAGCTTCAAAAGAATGCAACTGTACTTCTCACATTGAGAAAAGAGAGTGTTTCGGTGTGCTCTTTGCTTTGTTCTTGCTGATCCTCTGCTTCCGACGTTCTCTTTGTGCTTTGCGTATGTTGGCTCTCCGTTGTTCTTCACTTTTGTCTTCTTTGGTCTCCACCAAGCAAAGCTGGGATGTAGTGCGAAATCCCTGCAGGAGCTCGGTGGACATATCTTTTGTCAACGGGTCAGCCAATTGCTTCCAGGTTGGGACCCAACGCAAACGAAGCACTCCATCCTCCACCAACCGTTTCACCATCAGCATGTCCAGCGCTGTCTGTTTCTCGCTGGCCATGCTGCCGGTCTTGTTCACATGGTCATTGAGACCTTTGGCATCCGTAATGATGATGCCATCTGCCATGAGCTCTTTCCGCCATGATGGCGAGATCTCCGACCGTCCGTGGTACATGGCGTCGAACAAGGCTCTGTTGTAGAGGATGCGGTCGGCAGCAGAGGTCATCGAACAGGCCTCGGCGGCCAGGCTAGACCTGACCACCCTGTGGACTTTGCTGCTGTGGAATTCCAGCAGGCTTGACTTTGTTGGCTTCACCTCAACTTGTTTGCTGGTCACGAAGTGTACCTCAGCTTGCTGTGCGCTCATGCTTTCTGACTTGCCCAACGAAGCATCGAAGTACGAGACCAGCAAAGGCTCACCCTGGATCGGGTGAAGGACGTTCTTTGCCCCTCCATCAGCAGCTGCTTTCTTCATAGCTTGCAACAGTTGGTTTGCTGCATGAAGATCTTTTCCTTTTGCATTGCCAACTGCTTGAGCCAAGGCGCTCACGCGGTAAAGGAACTCCGGCATAACCAAATGGGCTGGCCACCTCAACTGCATTGCAGGCCTCCGGAAAGCAGAAAGTTGCTCTCCTTCCAACTTATCGTCTTTTCCAACCTTGAGCTCTGCCGGCTGGATTTTGTCCACATACTCAGTCATGTCATCAACGAAGGTGGAGCCTTGCAGAGATGTGGTGACTCCCAAAAACGTGATGGCCTTGTCTTTCATGTTTTGCCACTCTTTGATGTTGAACTTCGAACTGATCTCCTGTTGGAGCCTCTTCATGTATGCTGGAGCGGTGACCATGAGCCCATCATCCACGTGCAGACACAAAATGGCTGTGACTTCCCCTGCTTGCTTCTTGATGAAAGTGGCTCTGCAAAGCTCCAGCTCAATGAACTCCAACTCTTCAAGCAGCTCCTTAGCACGTAAGTACCAAAGGCGTGGCGCCTCTGACAGGCCATATGCCGACTTGCAAAGCATCAGCAGTTCAAAGGGGCGGATTGCCTTCTCATCTCGAACTGCTGGGAGACCTTCAATCGGTGCTTTGATCACCACTTTCCTTTGTACTGGCTTACCTGAAAGAAATGCAGTACTCACATCAAAGCATGCGGCTTCCCAGTGACGGGTGAGAGCGATGATTTTGGCCAGTTGCACCGCTGCCCAAGTGGTGGTAGGTGCATCTGATCTGAAGGAGCCCAAGTGTGGATCCAAATGGCCTGGTACAATCAACCTGGACTTTGGTTGGAAAGTGCCATGAAGCTCCCCTTTGTTCACCCGAAGCAGGCGTGCTGGCGCCCTGAAGACATCACTGGGTTTGAGGTTCTTGACCTCATCCTCACTCAAGCGGCGAACCACCTTGTTGTCAATCCAGGAGGTCCATTCTTTTGCATCACTTTCTTCAAAAGCTTTCTGCTCCTCCTGGTTGAAGTGTCGTGGATCAAGCTCTTTCCCGTTGGTTTTCTTCACCAACAGGTAGGCTTCTTGAAAGGCCTGCTTGTCCTCCTCCTCTCTTCTCAACTTCATCCACTCTTCGAAGTCTTCCACCATGACCTCATACACACCACTTGGTAACTCAACCAGAACTGCCTCCTCCTTCTTTTCTTCTTTCGGCTCGCTTCGTAGGAAGAGGGTTGCTCCTCTCCACTGGTGTGGTGCTTTCCTCTTTGGCCTTGTTTTGACTTCCTCCTGATTTTCTTGGCACACCATTGCTGTGCCGGTTGTCTCTCCAAACATGATGGTGATGCGACTTCTCTTCGGCTTTGAGGGTCGTTGAAATCTCTTCCTTGGCTTGATTTGATATCTGATTCCCGTGATGGGAAGATCTAAGAGCTCTTTAATTCTCCTCACTTCACTTTGTGGGGCCCATTCATTGGCCCTCTTGGTGTCCTGGACCAAGCTGAGCATGGTGTAGTGCATGAGCTCTGGAGTGAATCGTTGGGCCAACTCCTCTTCTGTTAGGCCTGTATGCTGGCCTGTGTCCTGGGTCCTCCGGTGTTTGAGGCTCATAGGGACATCATCTTGTAGTACTTCTCGAAGGCGCTTCTTGTAGCCTTCACTGTCTTGTTCGCCCAGCTGCTTCACAATCTCTTTTGCTAGCTCCCGGTCTATCTCCTGCATCTTCTTCTTTTCTTCGGCGGCCTCTTCTGGCTTCTTCTTTTCTGGAATGATCTCAATGGTGATCTCCTCCTTGGACTTTGGATCATCTTTCAGCTTCAACCGGGGCTGAGGTTCCTTGTCCTTCTTGATGGTCTTTTGGACTTTCCTGAGCCCCTTTAGACTCTTTGCTATCTCTTTTGCCCTTGCCTTCTTCCAACCTCCTCTCTTCTGCACTATCACTTCTTCTTGAGGCTGCCACCCAACTTCTTCTTCCTTTTCTCCTTCTTCTGGTGGTTGTGGGACTTGGGTCATGTCTTCAAAGTCCTTCTCATCCTCCCACTTCTTTCCCAGATCTTCCAACTCCTGCATGCGTCCTTGGAAATCTCCTCCTTCCAGCTCTGTGCAGCAGCGAAGATTGGAAGCGGCCACCAACAAGCACCTTTCTCTCCAACTGATATAGTATCTCTCACTGCTCTCCTTCATCAAGATCACGGCGGGTCCCCGCCAAGCGCCTGCATCTCTCTTGAAGCGCTTTGCAGTAGGTTGTGGAGAGTAGAAGTACACCATCTCACCTGGTGTGAACTCTTTGATCTTGCCGCGTGGCCATCGCCTCAGGGCCCTTTTGAGCTTATCTTGGCAATCCTTTCTCAAAAGGGAGATCTTGGCAGCTGCTCTCATCTCTAGGCTTCTTTGGACTTCGCCTTGTGTGGTCAAAGACTCCCTCAGAGCCAAGTTGCCCGTGGAGTCCTCTTCGAGCAGGTCTGGAAACATGGGAGCGCGACCAAAAACCATCTGATATGGTGTGAATCCACCCCTTGTGATGGTTTGGTTCTTCGCTTGAATAGCTGCAGCCAATGCATCCTTCATCTCAGACTTTCCTTTTGCTTTGTATTGCCAAATAATGGCGTGCCACGCATGGCCGAGTAGGCCTCCGTGCCTCTCTGCGAACCCGTGCTGCCATCCTGCTCTTGCTCCAGTTGCCCTGGAATGGATTCCATGGGTCTCCAGCCACCCGATGAAGGCTCCATCGAATTCCCCTCCTTGGTCCACAAAGAGGTTGTTTGGAGCGCCGTAGATGGAGGCCCAGTGGCGGTGGAATTTCTTTGCCACGTACTCTGCTTTCCTGTTGAGCAGGAGGCATGCGGCATGGAATGATGTGCCGCCATCGGTCATCGAGAGGGCCACGTGCAACTTGCCATTGGCATCATGCATGTACTTGAGGTCGATGTGAACTTCTTTCCCAAAGATGGATGTTCTGGTGAAGGGATTGACCTTAGGATATCGGTCTGGAGGGGCCACCTTCTGACAGACGGGACACTTGTAGTTCTCAGCGATCTTGATGGTGTCCTTTGATGCGCCTGCCAACGTCAACATCCTCACCAATGTTGCTGTCGTAGGATGTCCCAATCTTTGGTGTATCATCGCCACTCTCCAGCCTTGACTTCCTTTCTTCTCTTCTTCTTCTTCTTGTCTGTCTGCATCCTCCTCCAGCTCCTGCTCTTCCTTCTCCTCTTCTTCCATCATTTGTTCTTCGGGCAGTTCACCTCCTTCAGCAAACACTTCCTGGGGTCTCTTCTTCCTCAAGTATTGCTCTGCCCCTAGAATCACCTCCTTGGCGAACTTGGTGGTGTAGCCTCCAGCAAAGGCAGAGACAGGCATCCATTGACCATTGATCTTGGCTCCTCCCACAACAGGAGTATGCTCATGTTGTCCCCGACACAGGGTATTGCACCTTGCAACGATCTCTTCAGTTCCTCTGAGCCGGGTTCTCTTCTTCAAGAAAGGTCCTTGTGGGAGGCGAAGACCAAAAGTGCACATGTCACAAATGGAGTCTCCCGTTCCAGCGAACGCTTCTTCGATCAATGGTTCTTTCCATGCCAGAGATGGTTTGGGATTTTCTCCTAGCACTGCACCCCCTCTCTTCCTCTGCGCCAAAGTGGCATCTCGGACAAAACGAAGGAGTGTGC